GGAAAAAAACAACTTTTGTAGAGGATTTATAGATGATTTTATACACCAAATATCAAAGCTCTAAGCCTTGAAACTTCAGAAAAGGAAATTCTTAGGTTTTTACTATAAGTTCAAAATGAAAATTAATGACCCCCCCCAAATTTTGACCCCAGGGCTATAAATTGGACAATCTTGATAGAAGTCCACTACACAATGTTTCATGCCAAATATCTAACCTCTAGCCTTTGTCAATTCAGAGAAGAGAATTTTTTAAGTTTTTACTATATACATAAAAGGAAAACCTATGACTCCATGGGCGGAGTCAATTTTGACCCCAGGGCTGTAGTTAGAACAATCTTGGTAGAAGTCCACTACACACTGTTTTATGCCAAATATCCAACTGCTAGCCTTTGTCAATTCAGAGAAGATTTTTAAGTTTTTACTTTATTGTGACATATAAGGAAAACGTATGACCCACAGGGCTGGGGTCAAATTTGCTAGGCTTTTATCTGAACAAACTTGGTAGACACTCACTGAGGTAGAGGACCTATAGATGATTTTATATACTAAATATCTAAGCTGTGAGCCTTGAAACCCCAGGTGCACATATATATTAACTTCATATGCTGAGCAACATTCCTGTAAAGTTTCATGACTCTAGGTCAAATACTTTCTGAGCTACATGCGACACAACATGAGAACTGACGGATGCACAGATGGACAAGGGTAAATCTAAATGCACCCCCCCCCCTTTACTTGGGGGCACAAAAAGGGAAGCAAAGACTATTCTATGTACCTGAAAAATCTGTAGTCGATCATTTGCTTCTACTGGGGATATACCTTCAGCCATTGGTCCATCCTAAAATCACAAAAAATGATTAATGGCATAAACAATATCTCAATATTTCAGAACAATGATTCTACAAAAAATTCCCATATTTGACTTATCATAAAAGTTTTCATTTTTAATGATGTAAGGAAATAAAAATACAGTCCAACTACAAATATTAAATTGCTGGGGACTGAAAATTTACACCGAATAATCGATGGGTTCGAATAATCGAAATTCGAATATAGTGATAAACAACAATTATTCAACTTTGGCCATACGCTTATCATAGCATAAGTACCGTTTACAACACACTTGTTTCCACTAATCATTCAGTTAATTAAATAAACAACAAAAGAAGCATAAAAAATAAAATTTTATTGGTACTGATGGCATAAATACTTGCATTTTATTCCCCATTATGTAGCACATATACGTGAAAATTATTGCTGTCATCTTCAAGCATTAACAGTAACAACATTGGACCCGGTGCATAATTTTAAATACAAACAAGATACATATTCACAATAAGGGATATCTTGTGCTAATTGACATAATGCACCAATTTGAAATAGAAAAGGAATTTTTCAGTATTCATTTACAAATATATGGTAGTGTTTGCTTGTTTATTTCTTCACTTAAATTGCTAACTTTTATCTTTTGATTAAAATTATTAAATCAAATACTTTTAACCTTCCAATAATTAAAAGAGAAATCACTTGTATAAAATTATTTTGGGTAATTAAAGTTCATTTAAAAACAAGTAAATATCACGATTGTCTATAAATACACGCATGGTTGCTAGAAATGGTCACACGTTCAGCCAGTGGATCAGCGGCAATAAGTCTGGATTCGAATAATAGGTGTGAAATTCTGTCATAATTGTATAATCCAGAACAAACTTTTACATTGAAAAATAGGAGGTATCCAGATTAATGCATTTCGAAAAATATGTTTCTATTTATATTGACTTATATAGGGATAAAAACAGGACCCCTGATCTACTTCAGATAATGCCTGGTATTCTAATAAAGGGTTGTCGAATAACCGGGATCAGACTGCAAAATACAAATTGCTGTTCATAATTCCTTTTTAGCAGTTCTCTTTGCTAAACTAAAGACCTTTAATTGATTTCGTAATAATATAAATTATTTTAATATTAAAATAATTTCAGTTATGTTATTAAGAAAACATCGTCTGCTGTAAATATTAGTTGTCTGCTATATAGCCCCGTCAGCTTTATAAATCGTCTGCTATATTTTGTTGATAAACAATTTATCTGGTTACCCTTGATAGTTTTTCTTAGTCGAGCATAACGTGTACCCGGTATGGTATATATAAGGCAAAACCCGTGCAGAAACTCACTCTTTACACGTCTGCAGTACAGATTGACTGGTTTTAAAGAATTTATCTGCTATCTACATTGTCATGTTATGCCACGTGGCCGCGGATGCGTACGTCCACAAAGACTGTTGCGGAACAACACCGCCAGGCAACCCGAGCCAGCAAGGAGCGCAACAAGGAGCCAACAACCTTCAAACAGAGGGAGGAAACAAACGGCAGAGGTCCCGTTGAAAGATTTTGTTGACGAGAGGGTGTCGCAAACGAACGCTGGTGAGTCGAACGTAGTAGATTTTGAGCAGATAATAATGGCTTCGAATATTATTCCACAAAATTTGACCGATAATGTTGGTTCTGCTGCAAATAATGTTTCTACGGGGTGTGGCAATATGTTACAATCTGTGGGTTTAGATAGTTCTACTGCGAATCATTCCAACGATATTATAAATGTTTTGCCTGGAATACGTTTAGCCGATGATGATTAAGCGGCGCACGTGCCAACATCTCTTAAACAAAAAATTTGTAGAGGTGAATATGTAAATTTGATGTTATTATTGAAAGGGGCAGCCCAGCTTTCAGAATTTTGTAAAGGGACGGTGTTTAAGTTAGATAGTGAAGGTCACATAGAATCCGCTCAAAAAAGAATGTAAAGAGCAGATCAATTGCATTGAGAAATGGACAAACGCATTTATTATATATGCGTCCATTTATTTGTCATCACACGCTGACAAAATCTATGAAATTTTGCATTATATGTTTAATATCAGAGATTGTGCCTCGCGCCAGGGTGGTCTTTCATGGAGGACTTACGACGAGCAATTTCGTCTAAGACAGGCTATTGCTCCTCAAGCATGGTCGAAAATAAACAATGAGTTATGGTGGCGCTGTGTACAAGTCAGACCAGTTTTACGTGACCAATCTAGACCTTTTAGGTTTACGTGTAATGACTTTAATGCGGGAAAATGTTCTTGGCCAAATTGCCGTTTTTCCCATGTTTGTGCCACGTGTTTAATGCTCCCCACCCTGCAATCAACTGTCAAACTTCAAATTCTTCAAACAAACAAAGCTTAACGAGCGGTCAATCTCAGTCGTCATTTCAAAACTCTCGGAGCAGACATTTTCAGCCACAACGGGCTCAAAGTAGACGGGGCTATTACAAAAAGTAAAATAAATAAAAGTCCGGTCATTGCATTTTCTGACACTAATGTTAACTCATTCACTTTGGCAAAATCTCCTGTAAAATTTGAGGCTTTAAAGTTCTATTTAAAAGGATATAATGAGAAAGAAGCAAAATTCTTATTAGACGGTTTTATCAATGGCTTTCCAATTCAATACACAGGGCCACGTGTTGCACGTGAGTCAAAAAATTTACGGTCATCTCTATTAAGGCCTGATTTAATTAAAGAACAAATAGAGAAAGAGAGAAATGCAGGAAGAGTTGCTGGCCCTTTCGACGAATGCCCTCTACCAAATTTAATTGTGTCGCTGATCGGTTTAGTACCAAAGGAAACACTGGGGGAATTTAGGATGATCCATTATTTATCATATCCCTCCGGTAAATCTTTTAAAATGCTTTATTGATCCAATTTTAAATTTTCCAGTCCCAATACAAAATTTTTAAGAAGAAATTTAAAAATTTGATTCAAAAAATTTAGGTAAAAATTAAACAAATTTTTTTAAATCAAAATATAAAAGAGCGCCAAACCGTTTAATCCCAAATTTTTCCCCGAATGTTTTTGGCTACTTGGTTTTTTTTTCCCGTTTAATAAAAAAAAAATTTTGAAAAGGGCGCCCCCTTTTTGGGTTTGCTTCAGTCGCTGTATTATTTTTAAAACGATTTTCAAGTTTTTTTAGGAATATATTTTAAAATCAAAATTTATTTTCAGCTAAATTATACATTTTTTTGATGATTTTTTTGGGGGGTGACAAGATTCAGAATTTTTTGCAATCAGGCATTAAATATTTTTCCCAAAAAAAACAAATTGGACCAGCATCGGGAAAAAACTGAAGCCCGACTGGACGTTTTAGGTCCTTTAGGTTTGGAGCTGCCCACAAAACCAAATGACAATCAGAATTCCGGCAGAAAAAATAGAGGAGATCAAAGAAAAAATTACTGAGGTGTTATCACACTCGAAATCAATTCTTAAAAAGATACAATCTTTAATTGGTTCAATCCATTTTTGTTGTAGAGCTATTGTTATTGGTCACCCTTTCATTAGACGTTTAATTAATTCAATTTGTGGGCTGACAAAGTCGTATCACCGCGTAAGATTAAAGAAAGAGGTTCGACGGGATTTGAACATATGGCTTTTATGTTTAAAGAAATATAATGGCGTGTCTGTGTTTCATGACAAATTTTGGTTTTCAAACGAAGATGTAGAATTGTTTTGGGACAGCGCGGGTGGTGTCAATTGTGGTTTCTGAATTTACTTTCAAGGTCATTGGTGCCAAGGGAAATGGCCAGACGATTGGCACTCACGCGGTCTTACGGCCGATATCACTGTTTTTGAGTTATTCCCAATTGTTGTGGCAATATTTATTTTTGGTTCTAAATTGATAAATAAAAAATAAGATTTAACTGCGATAACATGGCAGTTGTAGACATTTTGAATAAGGCTTCGTCTAGGTCTGAAACAGTAATGTGTCTTGTAAGACTTCTTGTATTGCATTGTATGAAACTTAATATTTTATTGAAAGCAGTTCATGTCCCAGGTCTTTATAATGTAATTTGTGATGCATTGTCACGTTTTCAGTTGAAAAAATTCAGAGAATTAGCTCCGGAAGCAGATCAGCTACCTCACCCAGTTCCAGAATTCCTTTGGAGCGTCTTCGATTTAGAGCTCGAACATTTTTTTACAAGTTGGATTAGCGGCCCCAATACTTGATCAACATACATACAGCGTTGAACCGCTTTTTTCGGATATTTTCTTTTTTTCCGAAAAATAAATAATTTCTGTCATTACAATGGCCAATTTCAATTCAGAAAAAAATATTGTCTTTTTTTTTTTGTATTTGGGGTTTAAAAAAAGAAGGGGCAAATGGCTTCAAAAATAATAACCACATATTGTTGCACTTGAATTTTATTTTCATAAACTTTCTGGATTTTACGATATATCAAAAATATTCATGGTTGGGCAAACTGCTTGAAGGTTGAAAAAAAAAATCTTCGTAAATCACATGATAATCGGGCTCCGATAAAAAACAGGGTTTTGAAAGTTTTATGTGACATGTTACCATTATGTTGCTACAATGCTTACGAGACTAGATTATTTACCACATTATTTATATTCGCATATTTTGGTTTATTTCGCATTAGTGAGCTGGTTGTTCCAAAAGTACTGGAAAGTCGGGATGTACTATGGAATTCCGACATATCAATTATAGATAATAGCAAGGTGCTTATTTGTCTCCGTCATTCAAAAACTAATAAAACCGGTATACCTAAAATTGCGTAAAGAAAAGGACAATTTATGTCCAGTAAATGCCTTATCTAATTTTCTTTCTATGCGACCTAAAACACAGGGCCCCCTATTCATTCATAACGATAGTTCACCAGTTACGAGAACTCAATTTTCAGCAGTTTTGTCGAAATGCGTTTTAAGAGCCCGCTTGTCATTTGGATGTTGTTACAAAACTCATAGTTTTAGAATTGGCATAGCTACTGATCTCGCCATTATGGGCGTTCCTGCAAAAGCTATAATGAAAGCCGGTAGATGGAATAGCGATTGTTACAAATTGTACATTAGATAAAAAAAATAACATTAGATAAAAAATAACCTTTCATAAGCAATTTCGGGCAGTTTGTGCCATTATATCATCAGTAGTATTTTAATTTCACGACATGTTTATTCTATATTTAGACATCTGGGTCATCGGGGACTCGATCCCGTACTGGGCAGGCAATCATGCAATACAAACTGGGAAGAGAAACTTGAGACTACCAGGACAAACAATTGCATAGCTAGGGGTTCGAGGTCTGCGATGGTCCACAATACGACGGGAAATTGAAGCTAAGGTTCTCCTATCACCTGCTTTGTCGTTAATACTTATTCATTTAGGTGGTAATGATTTAGTTCACTCTCATGCCTATGATATTAAAGGGACAATACAGGAGGAAGTGTCTTACCTTCACGACGCATTTCCGTCCGCTTGCATTATTTGGATTGACATTTTACCCAGAAGAGTGTGGGGGAAATTTGATAACAAGTCTATGAATCTTAAACGTAAAAGAGTAAATCGTTTAGGTCGACACATAGTTAGTTCTTTAAGTAAGTTTGATATTGTCAAACCAGATATTGACATTGAAACGGCTTTTTATTGTGAGGACGGTGTCCACTTAAATTTAGTTGGTCTAGAGTTCTATCTTGACTATTTAAGAGATGCTATGCTAAAAAATCTATAATGGAATTTGAATGGGTGATAAATTCGTTGAATTTATTGTGGTGGAAAAATTCTGTCGATCGAGGGGTAGGCAGGCCTCGCAATTTAATGTATTCGCAATTCATGTTTTTCGAATATTTTAGCTGGTTAGGGTCACCTTGTTTTTGGGCTGGTCTAATCGCCTAAAAGATAGGAACCTTGACCTTGTAGGTTAAATTTTAAAATGCTCACCCGGTACTTTCTAATTATTATACGGTCTAACAGTAATTGTGTTGACTCGTTAATAGGTTTTGCCCTTAGTACTCAGCAATTCCAATATAACAAGACTCGACATGGTCAAATCTGTCTTGTCTCGCGGCCAACTTATCCAGCAAATAGTTTTTTGTAAATTCAAAAGTTTTTCATCTGTGTGTATATGTGATGAAGTTTCTTTTCACAGACTTATTAAAAGAATTATTAGTAATTTGATATTGTGTTTGCGTTTCATTTTCGAATATTCAAATAAATATGTAAGCCAAATTATTTTTATATGTAATAACATATCAACAAACCTCGTCATAATTCAGGGTAAAATCTGACACATCTCCATGGAAAACTTCAACTGAAGTCAATAATTGCTTCTTAAAGCCAGGCTGCAAGTGCACTAAGTTGTCTTGTACTTGATTCTAAAAATTATCATAATAGTAAAATTATCACTGGCAAACAGCATTAATTAATGATTAAGATTAATTTAAGATTTTAACATCATCAAATCTTTTTAAACATACTTGACAATAAGGAACACAATCAAATGTTTATACAGTGATTCTAGTCAAAGAAGTTCTTTCTGTAATACTGTGTTTTTCATAAGTAATTTTGTTATAAAATGAAAAATGCCATACCGACATAGCCATCAGCTTGTCGAATGAGTACCTAAGTGTATCCACTTTGTCATTTTCTTCCTTATGAACTGTGACACCAAAGTCATTGAGCATTGCATAGGATTCCTTTGAAAAAAGAAAACATTACTAGAAACATTGCAACAACAGAAAATTGCCAGTCACTTTAGTTTTGAAATATTTGATGACATATTTCCAGTATATATCACTTGTTGACTTGCTCACTTGATTAATATTCTTGCTCATTATAAGTAACATTTCTGCCAAAAAGTTTTAATTTCTTTCTATCGGTTCAAAAGATATAGAGGACACAAAATTTTGAAATTGATACAAAATGATTAAAGTGTGACCTTTACCTAAGTAAGGTCAAATCTGTGCTCTGTACATTTTAATTAACATTTCTGCCAAGTCAGTTTCAATATCCTTCCACAGTTAGACCAGTTCAAAAGAATCAGGCAGATTTATTTTCGGGTGTATAAAAATATTAACAGCAAAAAGTCTGTAGTTTGCTTACATTGTGTAAGGCTTTTTTACAGAGAATATTTTTTTCTATTTTTCTTCCACTATTGTAGAAATGAACATTGAAGGTTGTGCCAACAATGTTTTTTTTTCCCCAAAGCAATATCTGAAATACAGTTGACTCTCATTCCTGTTACTAGAAAAGTCTGATACAATTATAAGTTAACCCACTTACCTCAATAGGTCCAAGTCCCATGTCTATACTTATTTGATGCTCTCTGACATCAGCTAGGGCATACATGGCCTGCCTCACATCTTCAAGATCTCTAATAGGTCGACTCAGTCTCTTACCGTAGTCATCTTTAAATGCCAGTATCTCGTCCATCTTCTGCCTATATGTCTCATTCAACTCTTTACCAAATAACAACTTCCATGCCTTGATCTCAACTCTCAATGCTAACTTCAAAGACTCTGAAGGTAACAAATTGGACTCTTATAAGTTAAGCTATTTTCAAAATAGACTTGTCTAGACACCACTTTTTAAACTGTCCATTATCAACTAGGAATATCAAGATGACAAGATAAAGTTGGTCACCCAACAGTATAGTCTGGTCAGATGGTATCAATGTGCTGGATGGCCTGGCTCCATACTGGTGACAAAGGCTTATCATTTTGTTCCCAGCACGATAAGGATTAATTAAGAAATAATATATCCCAAACAGTGATTTTATCGCTCAATAACATCACCGTTTGGAGTTCGGATGCGACGAATTATATCACGAGGGCGTAGCCCGAGTGATATAATGATGCGCATCCGAACGACAAACAGTGATGTTATCAAGCGATAAAATCACCGATTTTGATATATTATTTCGATTCTAACACGACATCAACAAATCAATGCTGCTGTACCGGATATTAAGCAAAATTGCGACTGATTTGTTTACGTACTTATTTTCAGCGCGTCACATTTGCAGTGGTTACGTCACGTGTATAATGATTATGTCACATATCTAAATATAGAACGTCAAACTGTGACTTTATAGCATAATAACACATACTTTCGGTTCTTCTATGTTCAATAGGGAAAAATACGGGTCGTGTTAGAATGTACTATATGAAATATACTTTAGTACTCATTTAGTCTATCAGTCGTAAAACAATTTTTACTTTTAACTTGCACAAATATACAACTTGGACAAACTGAGATATAAGGGTTACCTGTAAACAGCTCTATTGGTCCAACAGTCTCTGATACCTGAATGTCATCAATGCTATTCTCTAACTTTTTAAACATCATCAATTTAGCCTTGTACTCTGACAGTATTGGATTCTCTTCCATAAACTCCTAAAAGGGAACAAGCTATCATTGAGTTTTGATTTACCATATCAAGATAACATCCATCACATTGAATTTTTATGTTTTCAAGAAAGAGATGTATAAAAACAGATTTTGTGTTAGGCTTTTTCGCTAGTATTTTCTGTATCAAATAATTTGAACGCAATTGCTATCGCAAAGGGATTTGCAATATTGGTATAAAAATGGTTCCTGTCCATACGGAACTACCTGGATGACAAAGTAGTTCAACAAACAAGTTTAGCATGGTTTTTAGATGTTACAGAAGACCTTTCCTTATTATTTTTCTCTGCACTTTTTAGCGCCAATCTCATCTTGACAAATATCAGCTACACAGTGTCTATTCTAGGATTTGAAAAACGGGGGAATTTTATTGAAAAGTGAGAATTTATTACATTTACTGATATTTTTCCTTCTTTCTCTATGGAAAATTTTCACCCTGCCTCTGAAAAAATAGGGGGGAATATATTAAACTTAATTCTCAAAAATAGGAGTGAATCTCCCAATCCTCCCTCCTAGAATAGACACTGAGCTACATGAATCAAAAGGCTTCCATTTAAGGCAAATCATTACTAATTCTAGCATTATGTTTTCAATGAAATTTTACATACAATTAAAACTGGCCCTTATTTCACATCAATTTAGCAATTACATTGTAAAATTAAAAAAAAAAGTTAAAATTAACCCTACTGCTTCTTTTCTAAACTTTCTCCCCAAGGGAAAACATAATCTAAAAAAATCTCTGCAGGGCTTCCCTCAATCGTTTTTAAAGAAAACATAGCTGATGACAAACATCATTTACATATTTTTAGAATCTTTTTTTTCTCGGGACCCCTCTTGTAGTAATTCTTTTTTGTCAGCTCTGGGGCAAGAAGCAACATAGCTTCTGGAAAAAAAAAACTGCTTTAAATAGTTCTTTTTTCTATTAAGGGCTTTAATCTTTCAGTGATTTCCCCCTTTTAAAAATAAGGGCCCATTAAAAATCTTTTCATTTTAAAATGTTCCCTTTTAAAAACCTTTCTATTCTCTTTCAAATTAAACAATTTAAAATTTTTCCCCAAAAACATGAGGCTAAGGCCCCTTCCTAATTAAATGAGAAAAACCACTGTTTTTCAGTTTTATCCATAGGTTTTAAGCCAAACTTACAAGCAAAGCAAACTTTCAAAATAAATTGTTTCTAATTGTATCTAGGTGATGGACAGCTTCATATTTAAACAATTCTAAGGATGAAATATCTGTACTATAGAAAGGTAATCACTAGTCTTCATGAAATATCAAACATTACATCTGGTGTTGTACATTTGAACCAAAACAGCATATGTTTTCGGAACAAATATTTCATCCACTACCCATAAATCTTCATTTATATTTATGTTTCAAAGAAAAACTTTCACAAGGTAATACCTGGGGAAACACCAGGTAGGCACAAACTTGATCGTTGCCCGTATCTACCATGACATTGCTCAGGGTTACTAGAAGGTCTGTTCTGTCCCCACTGATGAACACCTTTAGAAATATCTAGAATAAACTGACATGCCTTGTTAAGACTTTGTTGTATATCTTCTAGGTTGGGCTGCATTACCTGTAAAAGGGGTAAAACATGTAACCATAGGACTAAGTGAAAGATTTATATTTATAAGACATGTTAGTCTTAACTTAAATTAACCTTAACACAAGCAAATGCTTTTTTTGTGATATTGACAGACTTTTTCTTTCATTCATTCATTCAACTTGATTTCTACTATCTAGAAAAGTGTTTGTAGTAAAAATATCATACCACATTTGGGATGGCCAATGTAATATCTGCTGTGAAAAATGGTATCCTTGCATCATTGGACCCACCAGCAGCATCATCAAAACTATGAACATTACCTCTGAAAGAGAAAGTAGCTGATTTTAACATTAAACAAGAGGGCCATGATGGCCCTGAGGTCGCTCACCTGTATATAGGCCCCCCCAACCCCCACCCCCCCAATGTTGCAGGGCCAATTTAACCCAAGGGCTTTTATTTGCACAAACTTGGTAGACACCTATAAGAAGATGTTTCATGCTAAACATCTAAGCTCTAGCTCATTGGGCTTTTTAAAAGAAGATTTTTTTTAAGTTTTTACTATACACATATAGTTAAAAACAATGACACCCCTGGGGCCGGGCCAGTTTTGACCCCAGAGCTTTTATTTAAACAAACTTTGTAGACACTTACTAGAAGATGTTTCATGCTTAATATCTAAACTCTAGCTATTTGGGTTTTTTCAAAGAAGATTTTAAGTTTTTGCTATACACATATAAAGAAAATCAATGACCCCCGGGGCGGGGCCAATTTTGACCCCAGGTCTTTTATTTGAACAAACTTTGTAGACACTCACTAAAAGATGTTTCATGCTTAATATCTTAACTCTAGCTATTTGGGTTTTTTCAAAGAAGATTTTTTAAGTTTTTGCTATACACATATAAGGAAAATCAATGACCCCCCGGGCCGGGGCCAATTTTGACCCTAGGGCTTTTATTTGAACAAACTTGGTAGACACCTATTAGAACATGTTTGATGCTAAATATCTTAGCCATAGCTCTTTGAGTTCTTTAAAAGAAGATTTTTTTTAAGTTTTTACTATATGCATATAGGGAAAATCAATGACCCCCTGGGGCGGGGCCAATTTTGACCCCAGGGCTTTTATTTGAACAAACTTGGTAGACACCCATTAGAACATGTTTCATGCTAAATATCTTAGGTCTAACTCTTTTGGTTCTTTAAAAGAAGATTTTTTAAGTTTTTACTATATGCATATAGGGAAAATCAATGACCCCCTGGGGCGGGGCCAATTTTGACTCCAGGGCTTTTATTTGAACAAACTTGGTAGACACCCATTAGAACATGTTTGATGCTCAATATCTTAGCCATAGCTCTTTGAGTTCTTTAAAAGAAATTTTTTTAAGTTTTTACTATATGCATATAGGGAAAATCAATGACCCCCCGGGGCGGGGCCAATTTTGACCCAAGGGCTTTTCTTTGAACAAACTTGGAAGACACCTATTAGAACATGTTTCATGCTATAGCTCTTTGGGTTCTTTAAAAGAAGATTTTTTAAGTTTTTACTATATGCAATAGGGAAAATCAATGACCCCCCGGGGCGGGGCCAATTTTGACCCCAGGGCTTTTATTTGAACAAACTTGGTAGACACTCACTAGAAGATGTTTCATGCCAAATATCTAAGCTCTAGCTCTTATGGTTTTTTAAAAGAAGATATTTTAAGTTTTTTCTTTCGGTTGCCATGGCAACCAGAGTTCTGCATGGAATTAAATTCTTTGAACAATTTTTAAAGGTGACCACCAAAGGAACATTCCTGTGAAGTTTGGATGAAATTGGCTTAGTGGTTTATTAGGAGATGTCATTTAAAGTAAAAGTTTACGGACGGACGACGGACGGACGCCGGACGAAAAGCGATCACAAAAGCTCACCCTGTCACTTTGTGACAGGTGAGCTAAAAAAAAAGAGCAAAAAAAAAAAACAAATTCAATCAAATGTCTTCAAAAGTTATAAAAGTGCACTCAGTACATTATCAATTTGATGAGTTAACCACCATCAAAATATTTGTTACTTAAAGCAACAATCTGAATGAATTTAATATACAGGGCCAAAACACCTTTTTTGGGGAAGGGGCCTTAGCCTTTTACTTGGGGAAAATAAGCGCGATTTTTGCATATTTGGGGAAAAATTGGGCTGTTTCATAATCGTCAAGAAAGGGATATATAACATTAATATGGAAAAATAAACAACATAGACTCTCTTATAACTAAAAAAACCCAATTTTATTCATTGATTCTTGCTTTATAATAACATTTCCCTATTCTTTCTTGATTTAAACTCATCCACCAAAGCGTTTAAGTCATCGTCAGAGAAGTCTCTAACTGTGTTACTCATGGTGTAAATACGCATTAATGCATCAAGACTTTTCTGACTCATACTGGTCCTTAAGATTGTACATGTGTCATTCATGACAGAAAACCCTCTCTCAACAACAGCAGTTGATTGAGGAATGAGCAGAGCCAGTTCATAGAGTTTGTGCACTCTTGGAAAACATCCCTTGATGATGTCATCTTTCATAATGGCTGCTGCAACTTTTGCCATTGACTCTTCACCTCTGCGTCTGAAAACAAATTGAATATACTGTACTTGTAAGAGAATGTTGTTTTTATCTTTTAAATTTTTATTACAATAATCATTATTATGTTTATTATTATTATTATTGTTATTATTATTATTATTATTATTATTATTATTATTATTTTCAACTCCAAAACTTATGGATCCATATTT